ATATATATATATATATATATATATATATATTTATTTATGTATATATATCTATATGTGTGTGTGTGTGTAATTCAATTATTTAACAAATTTTTGATTTAAATCATCTTAATTAAATTTAAGATATATATAAAGAAATTATAGGTTTTTGTTTAATATTTTATTATAATTAAAATTTTTATTTGATTTAATTAGTTATATAAAACATATTTTAATTTATTAAAAGTGATCTGATAAATAACAATAATATTTTGTATCTTTTTTACTGAATGATATTTCTTCAAGATCAACCTAACTCTTTAATTGCATCAACGATGATTATCTTTCCTTTTGAGAGGTTGTTTAGTCCAGGCCTGAAAGTACTGTGGGGTGTGTGTTGTTTTCATGATTCAATTTGTATTGGATGTTGTTATTGTCATACCTCGCCCGCCTAGCCTTGGAAAAAATTTACAAAACTTAGCAAGAGAGTGTGAGTTGATGATTAATAAATAGTTCAAATCAAACATACATACATATATACATATATGTGTGTGTGTGTGTGCAACTGAAACAAATTAAAAGGTCATAACCTTAACCATCCTCAATGCAACACCTTAAGCACAATTATAACAAGCTTCTCTGCCCGACGCATACCTAGCAGCCTGAAATTCATAAATTTAAGGGGTGAATTTGTCAGAAACAAACTCAGTAGGTGAAATTCCACCTCACCAACTATAAAAAGGCAAGAAACAGGGCATAATATGAGCAAAGAAAGTTATGTTAATAAAATATTTGTTATATTATAGTAGCTCAGAACAATATGCAAATGATTGAAATTTATCTAATGATGCCCAATAAATAATAGAAGGAAACAACAATCTGTATAAACAAGTGATCATTATGTCCACATGCCAACATGTTCAATCATATGCATCTCATACGTATTATATATATATATATATATATATATATTTTGTGGGCCTGTCGGTCCAGCTAACTAGCATTCAAATAGGTTTAATACTGACTTACATATTATTATATTCATATATATTTTATAAATTATAGGTCAAATATTTTCAGGAGTGCTATTACCTAGGGGCGAGCAATCGGTCGGTTTGGCTGGTTTGGCTTTAAAATTTGTCAAACTGATTACAACCAAAATCTGAAATCCAAAAAATCAAACCAATCAAATATTTGGTAAAACCGATCCAAAATTTAATTCGTTTTAAATGGTTTGGTTATGAACAAACCAAAATTTAGTTAGATGGAGTTTAATTATAAACAAACATTAAGAATTACACATATTACATATATAATATTGATTTAATTTCATGAATCCTCCATTTATATTCAAATTTTTGGTTTTTCGGTTTATTTAATTAAATGAAATTCAAACCGAACCAAAAATCGAAAACCAAATAATTAGGCTTTCAAAATGAAAAACCGAAATTCATTTTTGAAACCAAACCAAATCAACTAACCTTGTTCGGTTTGGTTTGATTTTTTTATTTTGACCAAATA